CATAGTTTACAACTTAAACTCCCTGTTAGCAAATAAGCTTTGTTATCCTAACGACGTAGTGTTTAGGCTTAACAGCGATTTAAAATAATTAATTTTTACATCTGACAAATTTTTTTTAAAGCCAAACCACTAAGAATTATGAAATGTTTTGTTTGAATCAATTTTAGAGTATTAACTTAATGTAAATAGATTAATTTTACTGATAATCGTGAAAACTCTTCTCACTTCCAGCCAATAGAAGCGAGATCTACTGGGTTAATTATATGATAACATTACTTAATTTCAATGACGTATTAATGCGCATAGCATATTCTGCGGAATTGCATGGCTTAATGATATAAATTGTGGTAAATGTATAGGATGAACGCATATAGTATATCAAGAAATTTGCATGAACAAGTGGTTAATACACATTTGATGTCCGTCAATAAGGTGAATGCTATAAACATTTTTATTTAATTGCATACTTACACCACCCGTATACACACGTATATGTAAAAAAATAAAGCCCAACTAATTTTTATCTATTATATAACAGTCTTATTACATTATCATACGTAACTACGCCTGCGAAACATTTTTTCATTCTACTCCATATTATTTAGTAAATAAGCCTGAAATGGAAATGTAAAGTGATTAATGATACTTATTTCAGTATTAACAAAAATAAATGACTATCTAGAAAAAAATGTACAATGTATATCCACAATTAAAAGTAATATATTTAATTTGGTGTCCTATTCGTATTCAAAACAGGACTATTTTCCATCGTAATTCGACGACGCTTTCCCAACGTATTACTTCGATACAATTCTTTTACTGACTTCTCGGTTTTTAATAATTTTATCTGCACAAAATTATTGTATATTAAATAAACAATTCACGGGTTAATTGTAACAGTAAGATAAAAATAACATACATTAAGCTCCTTTAGTATACAATATGTCTTCATAAAGCACACAATCGTCTTCTTGAGACGGTAATATACAGTGGTCGAGTAAGCCAAATCTGTACAAACCTCTGAACCAGTTCATTGCGTAAAAATTCAGCTCAAACCCTATGTTGAATGAACTGTATCAATTAGTAAGCCAGATAAACAAACTGCATATTAGGTTTATGTGAATATTAACGTACCCACTTGGAGCCATCCATAGACTACCAAACTTTTCCTTTGATTGTTATTTACATGTCAGCACCCTTTCAATGCATTAGTAAGAGAGTCCCTCATCATAATACTAAGCTTCACTTTATCTAAATATCATTTTTTACAGGATGAAGAAGAAATGCCTAGTGATGTCATATCACCAGACACTTCGCCGAAAAGAGCTTCAAATTTATTTGGAGTATTTTTTAGCGATCCCTTCATGTTGACTTTTCATCCTAAATATATTCTCTGGAAAGGGTTCAAGTTTTCATTCCTTGCATTTTTCGTGCCATATACCTGAATTTCGCCCCCTGTACATAAAAAAATATTTTAAATTTTTTCTATTATCCTGTTATGAGATAAATACACCATAACTTACCATGCATCCTTAACTACATTTAGTCAAAGAATAGAGCGAAAAAGTGGGAAGGTAGAAATCATTTTCAATTCTTTCTCGGTCATGGAGTCATTAAATGAGTACATATTTTCTTTTCTTTATGATAGAAAGAAGTAAAACGTCTCGTTAAACAATTTTAGAGAATATTGCACAGACACTTATAACAAACCAATACTTACATGAATTGGATGTTTACGTGTAATTTTTTTATGCCCTTTATTTGATGAATTTCTTCACAGTTCTTATTAAAATATTTTTGAAGATAATCCGGTGCCGATTTTGGATCCCAAAAAATAGTATTCGAAAAGTCTTGTGATAATTCCTGAATATCTTTCTCTGAAAATTCTTTGCATCCACTTAGACTCTCTCAAGTTAGATCCAATATACCCTAATATGCTGGTCTAATAGACGATAAATAAGGTATAAGTACAAAGACCAGATCGTTATAATATGTTAAATCAGTGAAAACTTACGTAGTAACTCGATGACATTTTGGGATATTCTTTTGATATCTTTTAAACATGGTTAATAAGTCGCTACCATTTGACAGTTTGTATTCGGATATATTATCAGATGGTTTTGATATCGGTAGCCTCATTTCACTTTTTAACCCACTTTCATCGATGCTTTTTATAAGGGAGTCTTTATTTTTTCATCGAATAACATACTGCTATATTCTTCCTCTTCCTCATAATCTTTCCTTTTCTTCGATGTTTTGTCCTGAATGTATACAAAAAATGAATTCATAAAAAAAAAGTAGTTAGATATATCGAATTATTGATTAAAAGTGAATGTCCACTTTTTTGAAGAGAAACTCATATCCGCACCTTTTCATCATCTTCGCTTTAGTTGTCTAATTCATCCCGTTCTTCCTGGAGAAATCTTCCTTCCTCTTGATCATTTGTGAATCCATCATTCGAATTACGCCTTTTTCTTGTCGGTGTTTGAACATGAGGCTCATTTTCAAAAATTTCCAGCTATCTGGTAAGTGTAGTCTGTACAGCTTGATCTCGAGTGATTGCTGTTCTTATAACCTCATTATATTGCTCAGTCTATAAAGGAATGAAGAAAAGAAGTAAAATACTGTACATGTATTTTTGTATATTTCATTACAATAAATAGATCTAGAGAATTACCATTAGAATATCCCGTTCGAAAATCAGTTCTTGCATCCTGTTATTTTTCTTTAAATCTTTGGTCCATTCCTAGGCAATGGATTAAAAATTAGATGCACTATGTCAGAATCATTTGAGGGAGAATGTCGAACCAAGAGTTCATCACCGATCGACCAAGAGTGTACGGCTTTGCAGAAACCAAGAGTTCATAACTAAACAACCAAGAGTTGTTCAGCTTCTGCCAAAGTTAGAGTAGGTACGAACCAAGAATTCATCACCGGTCAACCAAGAGTGTACGGCTTGACCATACTCTAACCTCCTCCCTTTTCACTGTTTTTTTCTCGTAAATATACCTTCCAGTTGACAATTATAGCCTTTGCTTTTTCTCTACACATTGCATCAGAACCATCTTTTGAAATTCGTTTGAGATCTTTATTGTTCGAATCGAGTGCTTGCTTAAGAGTAAACTGTGGATTATTTTCTTTGTAATGATTTAAGACATTCTCGCATGTCCATTCACTGACTTTTTTTTCAAAAAAATCCATATTGCATTAAAGAAAAAGGAGAATTCTACAAATCACGGAATTTTATAATTGATGGTCACGTGATAACCAGAAACGTGTTATACAGTTCACACGTCAATTGGCATGTGATGTGAGAGATACAACTGCGAATATGGCTAATTCACATGAGCCATTGACGAGTTACTGCATAAAAAGTATAGAGATGACGTCTTCCTTCATGTGCTCTTCATCAAACCACGTATCTTCCTTAGAATTATCAGAAGAATTAAAGATATGGGCTAATGGAATAGGTGCAGTTGATTCCTTTGGAGACAAAACCTCTAATACATTATTCTGATCGTCATCTTATTCTTCATTCTCAGCTTCATCAGTGAATTCCATATTGGGTTTTTCACTGAAGTGATCTATAATTATTTGACAGTAAATTTTGAAATAGTATTCACACTATATATTTTTATGTATTGAAGCTTATCCATTCCTATTTTTTCGAATAAATCATCAATTCTCAAAGCTTTCTGTATTTGCCTACATAAAGTTTTGCATTTAATATCGGAAAGTTGTTTGATAATAAAATCATATACCTGACCTTTCGCTTTCTTTTCTCCAACTTTATTGTTGATCATAAAATCTTTATACATTCTCTTAAATTCTTTAGCATAGAAACACTAATGTAAAGTTTCTTTTCTATTGGCTTTGATTGCTTTCTTTTCTGCATTACACACAGTTTCATATAGATTAATAATATTAGGGAGGACCGCATGCTCTTTATTTCTCTCTGTTAAAGAATTTGAACAAACTTGGTTTGCTGAAATTTCAGTCACAGCTGAGAGGATGTGTTTTTTTTATGAATGAATTAATTTCTTGAATCAAATCCTGTTCATTTTTTCGCTAAAGTTTTTTCTCTCTATTCCTTTACCTAATCTTATCACTAATCATTTTCTTATTTACCTTGTTCAAGAAAGCATCTGTCTTTTTTTTTCTGATGATTTAGCTGAAGATGCTAAAGCATGATTACCTATATTCTCCTTCTTATATATATTTGATGCTAGATTAATAGTATTCAAGAAAATAAAGCTTTAAGACTCTATCTCATCTATAGTATTTTAATCATATTCTGAAATTATTTCTTTAGAAATAACCACCAATTGACAGAAAGTTAACTGTTTGCTTTCTTCATTATTATCTCTTGCCTGAGTATCTTCAGCTAGTTTTACTTACTACTTTAGCCTTAATTTCAATAATTTCAACATCAAACCTAATATTCTCAGCTGAAGAATCTTCCTTGTTTTTCTTTAACTCCTCGATTCTGGCTTTAAGTTTAGCATTCTCAGCATCATACCTTTCATTATATTTCCTATTTGCTCCTAGAACCTCAGTATTCTTACGCTTAAGTTCAACTATTTTAGCATCAGATATTAAGAGCTTGATTCTAAGATTAGAAATTTCAGCATTCTTCTTCCTGAGCTCTACATTCTTAGCCTTAAGTTCAGTGATATACTATTTCAATAATTCAAGTTCAGATGATATGATCTATATATATAACTAATACACTGTACATAAGTATTCAAAATAAAAAATCACATGATTTTTGGCAAATCAAGTTTGCTGAAATTTTGCCAAGAAAAAAATTTTATTAATATATGCAAAAATAAATATAAATATTCAGAACGTAGCCCGTGATATATATTATTTTTTGATAAATTTTTTAATTCTAGTCCTCTTGCTAGCTGGAAAACTATTTATACTAACCTGATTCTTTAATAATCTTACAATTATGTTGATTACCCTTTTCATATTGCTTCAAAATAATTCAAAATTATCTTTAATTATAAACTTCGTAAGATTAATCTGATATTTGCTACCGCTTGTGAAGAAAATGCTATCTAGAATATATATAATAAAATACCACTCTGTACCTATAATTACAATACTATAAATATAGTTAAAATAGTCATTTTCAAACGTTTGATCTGCAGTTCATTTTTTCTTATTTATTTAAAACATACTTTCAAGTTGTGTTATATTCTAAGAAATAAGCTATCATTAATATCTCTAATATGTTAAAAAGTGAAAATATGGATAATAGACTAACCTGCGCATATTTAATCTTAATATTATGAGACTTTCCTTTAGTGATATATAGGAAGTCTTCTAGACTTTGATTGCATAGTCTACTCTGCTTATTGCATCTTTACCAGATATATCTTTCTGTAAAACTATAAATATATCTTAGGAGATAAGTTTTTTAGTTATAGCAATAGATGCATAAAGAATTAATGAAATAAATTCACAGTACGTCACCTTATTGGCATCAGTCATAGATTCTATATTTAAAAGTTTTAAGATTATATCCTCCATATAGTGATTGAAAATCTTATTTTTATCATTAATTTTCTTAAAGACTATAAAAGAAAAAAATAAGATTAGAATATCTATCTAGTCAGTTCTGAAAAGTTGATTAATCATTCACCAGGAGTAAATTGCTTGATACTTATTATATCTTCCCCATTGACCTTATTTTTACATAATATTTTTTTCAAATTGTCAAGAGTTTTAAGTAAAAATAGTTTCATAATTTTTGACTAAGGCCTTCGATGAAGTTTATAAGCCTAATTGCTAGCCCTCCTTTCATACTATAATATTTAAGTTTTTCTTCAATTAACTTAAGAAAGTCAAGACCAGCAATTTCTTTTTTTCATAAAATTTTAAAGTAGGTCTTCTTGAGCTTCAAGACTTTCTTCTTCAAATATTTAATAAGCTTTTCTATATTGAAATCCTTAATAATATCTAACATTATTCAAGAAAAAACTTCTTTTATTATTGAGGCGAATAAAGTAGGTGAAGAAGCTTGTGAAGGCATAGTATTTATATATATGTATATTTATATTGCAAAAAAAATATACATTCAATTGTAGTTACAGATAAAGCTAGTTTATAGATATAAAAGTATTTTTGAGATTTTTTATAATCTGCTAATGTATTCTATTTACCCTATATATATACAATTAAGATGTAATACAAGATTGTCAGGTAATTATATTATATTATTACATGTGACATTTTCAAAATTTATGATAAGAATATAATATATGCTTTATTTAAAAAATAAAAAAACATTGCTAAAGCAACTAATATATAAAAAATAAATTTGCGAATATATTGTTATTACATAAATATAGATAAAAAAATCTAACTATTTATTAGAGAAGAATTCAGATGTGAATATGATCTTCATCATCAAGTGTCCCATTAAAATAGAAGAAAATCCTGTCTTCTATTTGTATAGACTTTTCTTCAGAATAAATTTATTAGAAGAAATCATTATGATTGATTGATCCCAGCTTTTTCTTACTTCTTCTTCACAATCTAAGACAATTTATCCTTAAAAATCTCAATCACAAAAAGTATATTTTTATTTCTAATATTACGATAGTAGAAGTTAAGATTAATAATATCATTATCTGCATTAAAAGACATCCTGTTTTCCTAAATATAAGAACCCATAGTAAGAAAACTTCACTTTCAAACATACATAACTTCTAATATAGATTTATGATAAGTACTTTTACATGATTAGATTTACTTTAAGAAGAAATAAGTCTTAATTATTTTATTAATTTTTAATAATGTGATGCATAGATTTACTATGAGAACTTTTGCACAATTAAATTTATTTTAAAAAGAAATAAGTCTTGATTATTTTAAAAATAAATTTTGATTTTTTAATAATACAATATGATGAGAACTTTTGTACAATTAAATTTACTTTAAAAGAAACAAATCTTGATTTTTTTTAGATTTTTTGATAATGAGA